TCGATTCAGACAACCATAATAGTATAAGCAACATTCAGATTTGATGATTATCAATCTGCCTTTCCCTTTGCCAAATGCTACTTGTTAATACATAGTTTTCGAACATAAGTCGTTATGTGAAACAATTTGTGAAACAGTCTGTGATGGACGAGAGTGAAATGGAATGCACGCTATTTGTTGTTTGCATATATCACGCAGTCTGTCTTCCGGTTGCCTCTTTTGAATGACGAATACACTACCGCCACCTGCTGGTAAGGAGAGTTATTACCACTCACGCGTGCGCAGTGCGTACGTGCTACTTGGCCGTCGGCTGAAGTCTTTGCGGTGTGTTCCAGTGTGACTTTTTGGCCAAGACACAGGAGACGTGAGGCGACACAACAATTGGGTCGGGACGTGTTCTTTGGTGTCAGTTTGGTGTGTCAGGGCCTTAATAGTTTAACTATCTCTGTCACACAGTGGTACTACAGGGCAATCAATTAGCACCAAACAACACTGATGGCCCGTTACGGACTTCAATTTAACATGTGCCTTCTCACGAACCACATTAGAGGCGTACAAATGTGACAATGTGAATGTCGTCCTTCAAAAAGAAAGTCCCTCTTGCCCCTCTCAGGAGTGGTGAAATATTGAGTGTGACACAAGAGTAATTGCATGGGAAGTAATCAATTAGACACACAATTGAAGGAGACCTAAGGTCTGTGGGCTGCCAGGCAAGAGGCTCAACTAAATTCTGGCGACGTGCACTGAACCAATCTTGCCTGCCTCCTGTGGCTGAATTGCTCTTTCTTCTGTTAGTAGTTAGAGGGTGAATGGAAGTCTCAGGGATCAGAAGAAGGCAGCAATTTGATGTTTCCCTCTCAGCAGTCCGTTGTCTGGGGAAACTACACTGAGCCAAAAAGTCCGCTTCAACTTACTCTAACCCATCTCGTCCTTTCTCTGCCTTCCTTGTGCAATGAACAATACATGTTCAGCAAGTTATGGCTTTCACTCACTGAGTTTTTCCTATCAAACTATTTCAGTGGGCTTTGAAGAACACAATAGGACTGTGCTCAAACAGGTGCTGTGGAACATGGTACAAAATTACATTGCATGCATTTGTGTTGAAGGCATCAATGTGACAAATCAAGACAGCCAACTAAAATATGATGAGAGTCACAGAGCCAAGGAAAGAGGGATAAAGCGATTGAAGGAAGACAGAAAACAGGGTGGATAAAGAGAGAGCAGATGGGCCATGAAGGAGTGGATAACGCCTTGGCGTAAAACACAGGCTTGTGTACATGCATGCAACGAGAGAGGATCATTCAGCAGATGGGGCCTCAGATTGGATGCTTCATTTTGGACAGACGCAGTGCAGGCGTTGGGTGGTTAGGAAAATGAATCAACAACACAAAACAAAACTGAAAAAAATTAAACGATACTGGATAAGATGAGGGAAGGGAAGAGGTAGGGAGGGAGGGAGGGGAGGGGGGGGGGTGGGTCGCAGTAAAATGCGATAACTCGGAGAGCTCATCTGTGTTGTGCTCCTTATTGAGGCTGTTATTACTTTGCCAGGGAAGCAGCCTGTAATTACCATGTGAAAGCACAGAAGCTGCCCGGGGTTCATGTGAATCCAGACGGAAGTGCTGAAAATGTTTGCCTTAGCAGGAAGCAAGACACTGCGGGTCAGCATGCATCAAAATACAGATTAGGAACTTTGAAAATGTCAGGAGACCGCTCTGTTTAACCTTTATCTCGCTATGGGGAGAAAAGGTAACAAAAAAAAATAGTCAAAGCTTATGTTTTGCAGTGATCACAAAAATCTTGAAATAAAAACCTTTCACATACCAGCTTTTTGTCTTAGGATAGGAGGCAAGTCCTCACAATATCACTTTCTATACATAAATGTCTTTCTCACAAAGTTGTATCAAACAAACATACAACTCCACTAAACTTTTCACACACAAGCCAAGGGTCTTACATTTCTTATTCACTGCTACACACACCCCTGTGCACACACACCATCCCTCAACTTTTCCAAGCTTGACTGTCTTATATTTCATATTCATGAGGATAACTTAGCTAAGCTTGATTGAAAGGTGCATCGAAGGGAGTCCTATCCCAGCTCAGACTTAGACCTCCTACACTCCATCCTGCAGTCCCCTTAAATCCAGAGAGTCCCCTCACAGCTCACAGAGAGTGCACCAGAAAAATCAATAAGTGCAATGCTACAATATACTAGCGACAAATTGATTTCATCCTAAGGCAATTTCAACCCAAGTAGAAATACGGGTGGGTTTCAGAACTGAAGTGGTCGCTTACTGAGCCTTCCCTCGATTAGCCCCTTTTGTAGTTCATATTTTATATCATTTATATATGTTCCTTATGGATTATATCGATCATTTTACACGTATCCTGGGAGCTGCTGGCAAAGGAACAGTGGACCTATATGACAGGAACATCAAAGGCCGTGTAATGAATGAGACAGCCAGCCTCGGCCTCACTAAAGCACTTAACGGAAGGGAAGAGTTTTGATGTACTGCTTGATGTACAGTAGTGGATCTATCCTGATGGTTCAAGCTGACATACTTAAATCTTATACCTCAGCAGCAAACAGAGCTTCTTCAACTGTCAGGTGCAACCGTGCAGTAATATGACAGTCCCTTCAAGAAATGTTTCCTGTTATAAATAGATACGTTGGTATTTAAGGTATGTTACTGGTCCAATCATTTGGGAAGGATTCTGGATAATCTTTTGTAACTTAAGATGCACATTATCAAAAATGAAGTTGCAACTAATAAACCCAAACATATAGAGAAAACATATGCTGGAATAGCAGCATGATGACAACAACCAATGAGAAGCCAAAGCCTAAAAAAGGAACACATCATATCAATGATGATGAAGCCAAGGCAGATAGCAATATGGCTTTGATCCATTTAGGAATTAGAGACAGGTAGCCAGGTAAAAGCATCTAGTAACAATTATACTTTATATAAGTTGGACCTGATCTGGGTCCAAGGTAGAATCTAAGCTTTTAGGAACCAAGGGTAGCATTTTAGACTTCTGGTTGGTATGTCGTGAGAAATTAATTGAGAGGATCCTCCAAGAACAAGACCTATGTGTCATTAGAAATGTTTTGCATTACAATATTAAGTTTGCACTATTCTACTTGTTAACAGGAACAGAAAAACCAGGGTGAAACTCAAACAATCAGATTTATCAAGTGGAGCAGATTCAGGCCATGGCTGTTGTGCATAACTTCCCCCTTCACTTCATGGCTTGAGGCCATGGATAGCACATCAAACAGCAGCTTCTCACACAGTCCAGCCCTGGTTCCCTTAGCACTGGCTTTATCTTGGCACCACAATGAAGAGGACCAGCTTGGCAAACAACTGCTAGTGGTGCTGGACCAACGCGATTCCCTAAGTATGGCGCAACATGCAAGAGAGAATTGAAGTTAGAACATTATCACAAGCACACACTGTTTTTGCACACACAGTCGTGGATAGCTCTGGGGGATCACCAGGAAGGAACAGATGAGGAGAACAATGAGAGACAATTGAATTATTTAAACAGAGGGTTTGGAAACAGCAGAGACACACGCTCAGTGCTATGTGTCTCCCTCAAAAGTCGAAATAAAGTCTACTTTCTGAATTAATTGTGATCTCTCACTACAGAGAGCACTTTTCCATTCCAGTGCAATGACATTGTCTTTCTCATGTTGCCTCGGTGTCTCCTTGACCTACTTGCAATAAGGCTTATATTATTTATTAATGCATTTATGCAATATTACTTCCACAGCATCATGGGGTGAAAAGCTTAAGTCTACTGTGTGCCACCAGGCCAATCTGCTTGCTCTGGGAGCCCATCCCCACAAAGAAATGAGCAGCGAAACTCATTTCAAAGCACATTTTACTGACATTCTTCATCAACGAGGACATGCATGGCACTTTGTGGAGCCACCTAATAAATCATTCAAAACTCATTTTTCATGCAGTCCTATGTGTAAAAGATAATAAGCAAAATAATTCATGTTATGATAGCACTGAAGTGAAAAAAGGGAAGAAAACATAACAGTGTTGGAACAGTTGGACTTAACACAACTGACCAGGGGCCTCATTTATAAAGCCTTGCGTAGGATTGACGTAGGAAGGTTGCTTGCGAAGGACAAAGCAAATACATATGCACCGACACTTTCCGATTCATAAAAGACAGCGTACCGGCACAGGACTTGCGCACGGCACATCCTACGCCGGTTTCCCTTTATAAATCACAATCAACTCAAAATGCGGCGCAGCTTTTGTGGGCTTCACGTAACACCCATATTTGCCTATAAATAGTCAAAGAAACGCCCATTCATTCATTCATTCATTTTGACTGACTGCATGAAGAAGATCGCAGGAAATGACGACAGAACAGCTAAAAAATACATCTCACACCGTTTGGTGGATACAGTTTGAACCAGAGTAGCAGCATGGAGGTCAAATCGTCACCAAAACAAATAAATAAGTGGTCCGAAAAAGGTTAATGACAAAAAAAATAAACATAGCCTTCCTCAGGCAGTGTGTTTATACCGGGGACAGGAGACCCCCCCTTGATGAGAAACTGTAAGAAATGATCGGGGAATCCCTCCGGAGTGGAGTCTTGACGACTGGATCTGAATTATGTTTTTGTATTTGGCGGTTTGTGTCCCAGCTGTCGATCAGCTGTGCGCAGCGTCTCCACTGCAGCCTGTGCATCTCAACCCCCACATTTTATTTATGGTATTATTTCCACATATTTCTCTCCATTCTTCCTTCTGCCAACGGTGTCGCAGTTTCTCGTCTCTCCCGTTTGTGTGCTTAGTGCGTAC